CAGGCTACCCTCAAAGCACATGGAGGGACTCCAGTTCAAGATTAAGCGGGGAAGGATCAGCCAAGTTACCAAGCACCAGTTCCGTAATCCCGCAGAGTTCTCCCCACCCACACAATGGCCCAGACTGATGCAGAGGGCTGGGAAGGCATTCAGCCCCTGGCCTCCCACCCTCCTGACTTTCAAGGCGGTTTCCTCTTCGCATCTCACTTTGAAAGGATTCGCCCAGACACGGGAGAGCTTTTAAATACATGGATCCCTTTATTAAGCCTTGTTTCACAGCGGGGGATGCAATCCCTCACTTGGCGGCTTGCCGTTTCCTACCCCGGTGGGCTGGCCGGCCGGCTTTGGAGGACACGCGTTTGGGTGCCTTCCTCCTCCCGGGCTTCTTCCTTTTCTTGCCAGCTACTTGATTCTTCTTCACGTCCCTCTTCTTCTTGCCGGCACGAAAGGAGCCTGTGGCGCCCATCCCAGTCATCTGCTTCAGCAGCCCTTTGGAGACCAGCCCCTTGAGCACACGGAGGAAATGGGTTTTGTTCCTCACCACGTCGTAGCCTGCCTTGGTGATTATCTTCTTCAGGGCCTCCAAGGAGAGGCCTTGGCATTTCGGGGAGGTGGCCACGGCCCAAAGGATGAGCTCCGAGACGCTGGGGCTGGCATGCTTTGAGGTCGTGGGGGCTCCTGGGCTTGTGGTTGGATCTTGGGGCTCTGAGTCCAAAGAGGACCCCTCACAAGGTTCACACAGATCAGTCATTTTGCCGGCCGATAGGAGACACTGCTCCTTGACTTGCCGTCAGATTGGAGCCACCTCCCGGCTGCCCTGTCTGCGTGGTCTTGTTTCCCGCTGGAGGTGTGGCCCCAAACACTGGAACGACGCGACGTGGGGCGGTTGGCCCTGGCGTAGCTTTCCGGGTTCTCCTCCTCGGTGCTCTGATCAGTCTCTGAATGTTTACGCGGAGTCCCACTTCCCGGGGACCTGCGGCTCGAAAGACACAGAGGACCCAGGGAAAGCTTCCGTTAACAACCCCTTTATGAAAGCGCTGGGCGATGCCCGTCACACGCGAGGGCTTTAGCTCCTCACGGCTTGGCTAAGCGGGGCCAGTTCTCAACTGCCTCCAATGCTGGAGGTACCCTTGCCTTGTTCCTCTGCTGGCACACCCTGTAATCAGGCCCTCTGGGTCCCTGCGCGGAGGAGGCTGGGCAGGCAGTGGTGAGCTCCAAGGCAGAGCCCACCTCTGGCCCTTGGTCCAGACTGGTAACCGTGGTAGCGCAGCCTTGTGCGTTGTGAGGTCAGAGGGGGCCTGTGATGCGTGAGCGTGGCCCAACGTGACTGGTTTCCCGGTGGCGTGTCCATGCAGCTAAGGAATCAACAGATTTTAAAGAAGCAAAGCGAATAGGCATTCAAATCCCGTTTGCGCTATCCCTGCAGAGCTCAGCTCACGAGGGGGGGGGTGTGTGAGTGTGAGAGAGAAGCAGCTCTTTGGGACAAGGGCCATATCTTTGTCCTGGGTTTGTACAGCGCCCTGCACAATGGGGTCTGGGCCCATGATGGGTTCCTAGGTGCTACCGTAATACACCTAATACATAACGTACAGCGCCCTGCACAATGGGGTCCAGGACTAGGGTTCCAAGGTGCTACCACAAATACAAATCAATTATTATTCCCCCTCCCCTCCCACCGCTGACATCCCCTGTTGCCAGGCTAACTGTGTCTTCTCTGCTCTCCCCCGTCTCTTGGTTGTCAGTGTCCAGATGGTGCATCACAACACAATCCACAGCAACACGGAGGAGCTGAGGCACATGGCCAGCAGCCGGGACGTGCCCCGCCCTCTCTCCACCCTGCCTATGTTCAACGTGCGCACGGGCGAGAGGATCTCCCCCCTGCAGGGCCGTCAGGACAGTGCCCACGTCCCGCTCATCCTGGCCCAGCAGTGAGTTCCCCGCCCGCCCGGGTCAGGGCCACAGAGTGGGTTTGATAATTGATTGG